ATGGCAGTTGGAACCCCAGCAGTAAATGAAATGAAAGAAAAAGAAAAAAAAATTGAGAAAAAGGGGTTCCAACTAATGAAATGAAATGAGAAAAGAACCCGATACAAGAGTCCAAGTTTGTGTGTGTTGTGTGAGTCTCTTTATCGATGAATTTTCGGTCCTAGGTCCACTACTTTGCCAGATCCTGTTTGAGTCTAGTACTCGCATTGAGAGAGATAGAGGACGTTTTAGAAGACCGGTTGACCTCGTAAGCTGCTAAATGATCTAGGAAGTGCGCTACCGATGATCTGGATTGCGTGTTGCTGTAGAGGTCTAGAGAGTTGCATTGGTTTGAGTCAGGTTTTCTTGGGGACAAGCAAACGGTTAAGTGTGGGGGGATTTGATGACTCGATATTCGCACATGTTTTCCCCATTTTTTTCTTGATTTTTTAATCTTGCATTATTGCTTCTTTGGCTTATTTTATGCTAGGTTGTGTTCCTTGGTCATATTTCATGTCCTAGCACATAAGGTGAAGTATAGGCACATGTTTCAAGTCAATCGGGAGATCAATTGACAACTCGTGGAAAGAAACTCGGGCATGACTTGAAGAAGAATTGATTTCTACCTCATTTTGTGACCAGATAATCATGTAATATTGTCATGAAAAGAAAGAGAACGAGACTATGAGTGTTTAGGATCAAACGACGCCCTATTTGGAGTCCGAACGAGGGAGAAACGGAGAATCAAAGGCAGGGGCCCGATATTGAAAAATACCCGATCATTAGAGTCAAAATACCCGGTAGTGTATTTTGAGCATCTGACCCCTGGCCGTGAACCAAAAATACCTGACCGGGTATTTTCCTTTTGGGATGCAACCCAACTAGTCGGTTTGCATTTCTATCCCGATTTCTCTTTGGTTGAGTCATTTTTGTTCTTTGATTTTAGTGTCAATAACTCAACCTTTGTGAGATTTTGTGTGGTGTTTGTGTTTCGACTACTCTCTCCTCCTGGAATGCACCGCCTGCCCCATCCACCCTCATTCACACTTGATCTGGTAACTTCGTTCTACCCTCCTTATCTTTCCTCCATTGAGGACAATGTCGTGCTTAAATGTAAGGGGATGTTTGATTATATATGCGTGTGAATGTTTGGCTATATGTGTGTGCTTGGAGCGTAGTCCACTGTCAAAATTTTTAAATTTGAAGGCTCCAAGTACGTGTTCCTTGCAATCGCCTGATCAGTATGCTTTGAATTTACAGCCTTTATAGTACTATGCAATCTAGGGATGTAGTTGTAGCACTATGGAGGATGCTGAAGTATAAGATTTTCATATGTGTCTCCTTGCTGTGCCGGTTGATTGTGTGAGCTAGTGGCTTTAGGACCTTTAATTTATGTGATATGGATGACTCACATTGTGTTTGGACTTTTGTATAATGAGAGGGTGCTTAGTGTACTTAATGAAACGCAGTTGGTCCCCCATAGCAATAATCTGATAATCTGAAATATGGGGCAAGCCTAACGTGTGTGGCACCGTTCATTACACACAATCGGGTTTTGGAAGAGATTTTAGTGATCTTTAGTGGGGGTACTCCTACAAGATGAAGATAAGCTATCTCTAGGATGTGTTTTTAAAGGCACGGATAGAGCTTCCGACCCCCCTTAATTTCATTGACCCTCCGCACAAATTGAGGAAAATGAGTTAAAATAAGTACTCTGGTGAGCGACAGATGTACAGAAATTGCTTTTGCTCAACCCATAAGGGTCAACCGCGCATAATGACAGTTGGAACCCCAAGATTAAATGAAATTAAAGAGAAAAAAAAGAAACTTTTATTTAAAAAGGGTTACAACATATGAAATGAAATTAGAAGAGCACCCGATACAAGAGTCCAAGTTTGTGTGTGTTTTGTGAGTCTCTTTATCCATTAATTGTGTGTCCTAGGTCCACTACTTCGACTGATCGTGGTTTGAGTCTAGTACTAGCATAGAGAGAGATAGGGGACGAGATAGGGGACGTCTTAGAAGACCGCTAGACCTCATAATCTGCTAAATGTCTAGGAAGTCCGCTACCAATGATCGGGGTTGCATGTTGCTGTAGAGGTCTGGAGAGTTGCATTGGTTTGAGTTAGGTTTGCTTCGGGGCAAGTAAATGGTTAAGTGTGGGGGGATTTGAGGACTCGATATTTGCACATGTTTTCCCCTTTTTTTCTTGATCATTTAAGCTTGCATTATCGCTTATTTGGCCTATTTTACGCTAGGTTGATTTCCTTTGTCACATTTCAGTTCCTAGCACATAAAGTGAAGTATAGGCGCAAGTTTCAAGTCAATTGAAGATCAATTGGCAACTCGGGGAAGAATCTCGGGCATGACTTGAAGAAGAATGGATTTATACCTCTTTTTTTACCAGATAATCAGGTAAGCTTTTCATTAAAAGAAAGAGGATGAGACTACGAGCGTCTGGGATCAAATGGCACATGATTTGGAGTCCAAACGAGGGAGAAGAAGAATCAACGAATGGGGACCCGAAATTGAAAAATACTCGGTCAATAGGGTCAAAATACCCGATAGGGTATTTTAGTCATAACTCATAAGGCCCCCAGTCGTGAACCAAAAATACCCGACCGGGTATTTTTCCTTTTACCCAGAAAAGTAACCCAGAGCGTTTTGATGATACCCAGTCTGATCTCATAAATACCCGAGCAGGTAATATGAACGGGTGACTTCCACAAACAGGTTTAAAACCTGTTTTGTGCGTTTTTGGAGGCAGAGAGATGGCCTTTGGATCTCAAACACCCAAGGGACTAACCAAAGAGAGAGATGGCAATTTGAGGGCAATCTTGGAGTGGAATTAGAGGATTTCTTCGCCTTGGAAGCTCGAGGAACAAGCCCAAACTTTATGCTGATCATCTGAAGATTTTTAATATTGTCCCTCTCTTCTCTATGGAGTAACTTCCCTTCACTTAGGTTTTGAGGAACCCTAGCCATTTTTGTTTGAGTGGATGATTGTATGAGTACTATAACTTGATAATCTTGAGTTCATATTCAATCTATGTATGTTTTCATGATTCAATTCTGCTTTGATCCTGTGAGAGTGAATGCCTGATTAGGTCAATAAAGCACCATAGATTGATAGTATTGGATCGATTTCTTTATTCGAGGGTTGATTTAATGCTTTGTATCGATTGAGAACCTCATTCGATAGAGGGAATCTGGTTCAGAACGCCTTGATCGGTTGTCTATAGAAGGATATGTCCCTCTAGGCAATTGACTCAAGAGGGCCTTGTTCCTTTAGTCGAGATTCAAGGGCTAGTTAAGGATTCATCGCATTGTGAATGAAAGTGAAATAGGTTAGAGATCATCAATCATTAATCTGGCTAGTGGTTAGGGGGAATCATACCTAAGTGAGTTCACAACTTGTAATTAGATTATCTTTAACTGTAGTTTGCTAAAGTAGTTTTAGTTGTTCTATCTTAATCTGGTTTGCTAGATAATCAATTCAATATGATTAATAGTAATTCTAGAGACCCGTGGATTCGATATTTATTACTAGAGCCACTATATTGCAGTCCCTTTCATTGGTTACACTTGGCCTTTGTTAGTAGTTGTATTTTAGCGAGTCAGTTTGCATTTTCTTCCTTTCTCTTTTTGTTTTTGTCAAGTGTCAAACATGAAGCTTTATGGTCAATTTTCATGCATTATAAGTTCATATTATTTGAATTTTCGATTTCGGTTTGTTTGCGGGGTGTTTTTGGATGTATGGTGTTGTTTCTGGTGAGTTTGGATGGACGAAGGCAGACGTATCCCTGAAGTTACGGCCTGAGGGGCAAAGTTAGGAGCGTGACTATAACTCTCCCTCAAGGCCCATAGTTTTAAAACATCCCCTGGATCGACTGGGCATCATTCCCAGAAGTTACTGGATTTTCCTATGATTCGTTGACTTGACCAAGTCAGCAAGTTACGGCTAGAGTTACGGTCGTAAATCGCCCGATTAAGCCATAACTTTGGCTTCGCCTATAAAAGGGAGGTTACGTCCCGTAAAGTCCTCGCCAGAAACACAACCACCCCACCAGAACTCCTTGCTGCCGCCGCATCCCTCCACCCTTTCCCGATGATATCCGTCCCAGCCACCATTCATCCTCGTCGGAAATTGCCTCCGGCGAGCCTCCGACAGCGGTTGTCAGGGCGCCTTCTCTGTCGCTCTCCTTCCGCCTTCTCCCTCGCTCTACTCTCTTCCTTGCGTCTTTAGGTTGGTCTTTGTCCCTGATTTTGTGTCTGTGGAGAATAAGATTGTAGAGTGTAGGGAGAATTGAACCGCTTCTACTTGATTAGATGTTTTAGACGGGAGAATGTGTTTGCTTGAGAATATCTGGTCTGCATGGCTTTTGTGCATCTGTTAGATACTGGTTTAGTGTCCTATTTCTGCATATTTTTGTTCTATATTCTAGTGGATTGAGCTTAAGTGTGGGGGAATGCTAGCTTTGTCAGCTATTTTTTGTAACACCCTAGCTCGGCCGAGCACTACTTTTACTAACATACCCTTTATAAACCGTGGAATAAAATAAGAATTGAAAATATTTAGAAAAATAGCTGAAAAATTTCATAAATAACTTTAATAAATATTGAAAACAACTGATATTACTTAAACTCAAAGCCATGACACTTAGGCAAACTCAAAGTCTCAACCTGATCTCAGTCTATACTCATAATCATAAAATGTAATAACTAATAGTCTTTATTGTTGTTGCTTACTGAAAACCTTGACTAGACATCCTCTGTGATACTCGTACTGTCCCCCTCCAGCTGGCTCCCCTCGAATCGTCTCTCTCGCTCCCGCTGCTCACTAACTGCTCCTCTAGCTCTTCGTCTTCAAACTGGTGAGTGAGTTGGGGTCAGTCTACGCCCTTGCATTTTAAATCTCGAATACTTGAGCACTTTGCTTAAAACGCTTACTTAAACAGGGAGAATTTGTTCTTACTTACACCCTTAATAACCTTAACTCTTAAAACTGTGTTACCTCATCCTTTATCTTATTGCGGGGCCCCTACCTCGACTTAGCTGGCGCCATTACTAGCCTTACTTAAAAATGGCTACCCTCACAATGGGGTGCCGCTCAAACTGAGTTTTGACTACCGCGTTACGCATCGCTGTCCGGTGTCAAAACTAATGTATGTCAATCGCGTTATGTATCATCGTCTGGTTGCATACCTAAAACTTGGCAATGGAAACTGCGTTACCTATCGCCGTCCAGTTCCATGTCTGATCAACTACTGCGTTACGTATCATCGTCCAATAGTGATCCCTCGTGAACGTGGCTAGCTAAGTGAGGTTACTTATCTTGTTCTTACTTATTACTTTCCCTTCCTCTCTTCACCTTAACTTATTTAAGGGTTAAGTACTACTAAAACTCATCCTTACCAATCACAACCTCCTAATAAAGGACATAAACTAAACTCCTTAAAAAGTAAATAATGAAAACTCAAGTAAGCACATCAAACAATATCTCCATCGAGAACATGCATTCTCAAGCATAAACATAATCAAGCACTGACATATACTTCACGTAAAACACATATTTAAAACTCGTAAGACGTAGAATTTACGCCTTTACACTCACCTTTATTACTCAAAATTGGGCTAAATTATACGTTTGGTCACTCAAATTACATAAATATTTCACGTTTGCCACCCGAATTATTTTTCTTTCTTATTCGCCACAAACTTTACGAATCGTTTCACCGTTAGTCATCGGTCGTTAGTCTCAGTCAAAGTCCGTAAACTCCGTCAATTTTATGTTGATATGGCAAATAGAACTGCTGACTAGACCGTTAAGCTGATGACATGTCAATTTAAAACAAAATAATAAAAAAAAAATGAGACCCAGTCTCTCTTTCTTCTCCGCTTCCCCACTCTCCTTCCGTTCTTCCATTTCCCCATTCCAAGTCCCAACTCCCCTTCTTCTTCTTCTTCTTCTTCTTCTTCTTCTTCTTCTTCTTCTTCTTCCACCTTGAGACAGACCTATGTCTCCCCTGTTCAGTGCAACCTCAGCAAGCTTTGAACCAGAATCGACTCCGTCAAGAACACCCAGAAGATCACTGAAGCCATGAAGTCGCCGCCGCCGCAAAATTCAGTCGCGCCGAGGAAGCCCTCGTCAACGGCCGCCCCTTCTCCCAGACACTAGTCGAAGTCCTCTACAACATCAACGAGTAGCTCCAAACAGAAGACGTCGATGCCTCGCAGACCAAAGTTCGTCCAGTGAAGATAGTCAACCTCGTGGTCGTCACTGGAAACAGAGGGCTCTGTGGCAGTTCAACAATCAGATTATTAAAAGGCGGAGAATTGGGTGTTACACCCAGCTCTTCCCAAAAGTCAAAATGACTATTATACCCTTGGGTCAAGTTCCACCATATTACCAATGAGGATTAAAAATGTGAACTAATAGTTCAAACGGTGTCGAGTTTCGACATGAAGTGAGAAAATTATGGATGTTAACTGAATTTCGTATAAACTCACCCAAAATTGTCAAATTCCCAAAATTCCGCGTATCAATTAAACCTAAGCTAACCCTAATTACCCCAAGGCGGCACTTAAGTTTCCGCCGCTCAAACCTTTCCCCAGCTTGTCAAAATCCCTCTCGGCAACAAAGGGACGCATCTCAGGCCACTATCGTTATCCTTGCGCGGAATTTCACCTCTGGGAAACAAACCCAAATGGGGATTCAAGATATTTATCGGATAAAGATTGGATTTTACAGAAAAACTCCGACCCAGCGAGAGGCTTTGGAAGCTGCAGGCATTTGAGAAAGAAGCCGAAGAACTCAATGCACTTCTGTGGGTTTTGCAAACAGCAGGAAGAAGAAAAACGAACTAGAATAGACCCGCCGGAAGCTGAAATGCAGAAAGCCAAAGAGCAGAAGCAAAATCAAATTGTAGGTACCCTTCCGATTGAAGAGAAGGAAGGCTGCTCAGGGTCGGAAGCCATGGGTTGCTTTGGTTCTCCAAAATCTTCGCTCGGTGCAACACACTTGCAACAGTTGAATCAAGAATGCATGAACGGTCTGGAGACTTAAATTCCGATTGTGCAGCTTGCTTGCTGCGAGTTTGTGAGGTCGCCAGAAGTTTCAGAGAGAAGAGGGGGATAAAGATATAGTTTTACTCGAGAATTGAATTGATGAGTTGTTCATGGAGACTGGAGTGGACAGCATCCGACTTAAAACCCACCTGTTTGTTCATTTTTCTCTAAGGAACTACCGGTGCTTTTACTTGGAGGGTAAAGGCGATTATGGAATCAAGCAATCAATTATTATGGTTCATAACGAGCAACGTGGAACTCTCCTGAACAATGCTGGTGAGGAGTAAGAGTTCATATTGACCAGGATCTGCGATTACAAATTAAGGTGAGTGTAAATGGGGTAAATTCTACGCCTTACGTATTTTTTTAAGTACTATGATTTTAAGTATTTTAGCGAATTGTTTATCGTTGCTTGGTTATGTGTATGATTGATTATTTGTGCTTTGCTTGAGTTATGGGTTGAGGTAATTTTGTGCTATTTGGCGTGATTTTGTTTCAGCTATGTTTGAAGTGAATTTTTATTAATTACTTTGGGATTTTACGAGTATAAGTTATTAGTAAAGTTTAAGAAACAAGTTCTTTTTAAGAAGTAACTCACCTCCAATAAGGTGAAGTTGTGTTAAGCGTTTTTAGTCACTAGCGCCAGTTCGTTGCCATTTGAGATTTTCAGACAGAGCAGCAGTTATGCTCTTAAGACTTTTAAGATGAGCAGCAGTTATGCTCTTGAGAATCGTGGTGAAGAGCCGCCACGATAAGTTTAAGCTGTTAGGGGTATGAATCGTTACGACTTCCCTAACTAAGTTTAAGTTTAAGGAAAGCCATGATGGCTTCTAATACGTATGAGTTGGCAACCGGACTAGCTAGTGAGGGATCCCCGTGTCAGTCAAGTATTTAAGTCAAGATTTGAGCTTTAAGAGAGGAGAGTAACTTCAACTCCCTCCAAGTTTAAGAGTTAAGATTTTAAGATTGGAAGTACAAACAACTTCCACTAGTCAAAGTTAAGTGTTTTAAGTAAAGTACTAAGCAGTAAGAATTTTAAACGTAAGGGCGTAGACTGACCCCATCTGACTCACCAGTTTGAAGAGCTAGAGGAAGAGCTAGAGGAGCTTTTAGTGAGTAGCAAATTCGACACGGGGATCTAGAGGAAGGCAGCTAGAGGAAGGGCAGTGTAAGCGTCACGGAGGATGCTTAGTCAAGGTTTTCAGTAGCAACAACTTTGGAGATTATTAGTTATTTACATTTTATGATTAAGAGTATAGACTGGAGATCAGATTGAGATTTTAAAGTTTGAGTTCAATTTGCCCACATGTTAGGGCTTTGCTTTGAACTAAAAGTATGTTTTCAGTATTTTAGTTATGTAAATTTTTCCCAATGCAATTTAAGATTTGAGTATTTTATTTGTAAATGGCATTTTAGTAAAAGTAGTACCCGACCGGGTTAGGGTGTTTCAATTTTGGTATCAGAGCCGGTCTTCCTCTGTTCCTTGGTCTCCAAGGAATACTAGAATATCGGTCTCAGTTTTAAAGGCTTTTGTTTTAAAGGAAAGGGAAAACGAGTCAAAGATCTTCTTTTAAGAGTTTATTGGATCTCCAGTCTACTATAATCATATGAAGGTGAATAACTATAACAGCACATCACGAAGGGATGGTAGCCAGGGAGCAATTGTTCAAGAATAGTCTAGGACGCGATTTAGTTAACCTGTCGAGGTTTGTCAAATGAGAGATTTAGGCATATGGTGATCGCCAGTAAGAAGGAAAGGATGAAAGGAACGTGACCAACACAAATAGAATCTCAAGGGCTCTCAAGACCAAATATCTCATCGACATGATGGATAGTAGTTTTTCAATTAGTTAACCTACTACTCGGACGTTAGCAAATAGATCATCATCATCAACCTAGAGAAGGAAGGAGGAACGTTGCAAAGGTCTATGGAGGTAGAATCAAACGTGCGAGGAATTCAACTCCAAACACCAGCAAAGAGGTGCCAATTGAAAGGGAATACCTCAAGGGTTTTGAAGGAGTTGAGAGAGTAGTACGAGGATTTTACTACTAGGAAACTAGTTGATGATCTAATAAGCTAAGACAAACAAAGGGGAGAAATATGAATCTCCAAAGGAAGAGGAACAATCATCAGATGCCTGTAGCTAGGATAATAGGATGATGTTAGGGTCTTTGGTCCTAAGCAGTGGGCAACGGGTCAAGAAACGAAGAAGTACCACCAGGAGTCCCTCAACTAGGTTTAGTGGTCAACGCTATTACAACACAGTGACAAGGAGTAGTGGAAAGCTTAGACTTCAAGAGAAGCTAGGGTAGTATAAAGGAGGTAAAGAAGGAAGTAAGCAGGTTAGAGGGGGGTCTGAAGGGACGTCAAAAAGCAAAAGTTTAAGGAGGAGAGGATGCATGGTCATTTACATATGACGACAAAGGAACCCTTATAGATAAAGTACGTCACTAGAGAAGACTGTACATCACCCCGGGGAGTTAGGCTGGAAGCAAGCCTTTAAAAGGAACAAGACAAGCGTCAAGCTGATCGAGGTAGAGAACGAGCTTGGATCAAGAATAACAATGTGCTAGTGAACAAGGTCGAGCTAGAAAGAGGATGTATTGGGATATGATATACCCTACAAACTACCCAGATCACAAAAGGTCAGGAGGTCGTTGAGACCATTGAAAGGGGAATGCAAGAGTTCACGATGATCTGTTATGGGATTGTCCTATCCTAAGTGGAGGGAACACCTAGCCACCTAGGGTACATGAGGGGTGACAGAAGGAGGAACCTCTGTAATAAGTTAGAACTAGAGGGCTAAGAGCTGGAGTCTCGAAACCAGTTGTAGGAGTAAGTCATTTAACCAGCCGAGTATAGACAAGCCAGTAGAATGTTCATTAGAAGTTCTAATGAAAGTTGGAGAATTCGAGGAAGAGTCTACACGGTCGTAATGAAGAGAGTTTGCGAACAATACCAAGGAAGATCAAAAAGGCCAGAGGGAGTTTGACAAGATTTCAAGAAGTCAATGGGTCAAGTCTCATGTGACTCGAGGTCAAGAAGCTGCACAAAGAGGTACGATGAGGGAAAGCATTACCGAGAAGGAGGAAAAAGAGAAGTTACCTTATCCAAGGTGCCCCACTCCGAGTGGGCGCGGCATGGTAGGAGGGCTCCAGAGGGGACAACTAGTTAAGGATGAAACCGACACGTTTAGTTAAGCCACTAAGAATCCTAACTAAGAGACTAAGTTTATGTACAAGATCGATCAACAAAAGAGACATGGAATGATTTATGTTAAAGGTTACCAAGGGCAAGCCACCATTGGAAGTTGTGACCTAAAACAACAACAAGAAGATACTCAACGGAGTTGGTGACCAAATATAGTACAAAGCAACAACGGAAGAGTAGCAAAAGTAAAGAAGCAGGGAGAACACCATAGGACGCTATAGGAAATAAAAAAAAGGGTGGTTGTCGACCGGATAATGAATGCGTGAAAGAAGATAGTTGGGACGTGGTCAAGCACCATCGTGAGTAGAAGTCGTGGGTGTCGTCTGTCAAGTCTATCTAGAGAAAGTTTCTAGTGTAAATGTTGGCTCTGAGGTATGGCGAGGAGCTACTAAACTAAGTAGATCAAAGCTAGTACCAAGCATCGATGAAGGAGTTGTGGAAGTAAGGAGGAAACCACAAGGCTATAATGAAAGTTATGGTGAAAAGGGTGGTAGTTGATAAAACGAAAAATTCAGGGAGAAAGATAGTTAGGAAGAGCCGGCAAAAGAATACTAATGTCAACAAGGAGGCGTTAAGGTGATTGCCAGTGGAGAATAAGTTGGACCATAGGAAGCCCATCAAGAACTGAGAAGCTCAATGGTCAACTTTAAAGTAGAAGTGTGGTGGTCCAGAACGGTCGAAGGGAAAACCTTATCGGGCAAGGTACATAAGTGAGAAGAGAATATGGGCACTAAGATGACTACATCGAGAACAAGGGACATCTAGAACTAGCGAGTAACATCAAGGAGAAGAGTCATGAGTGGAGAAGTAATTGGGATATGAGTTTAGGGAATCTTATAGGGTACCCCAAAGTGAAGCCAAGATCTCCTATGCGGGTGAAAGGTGCCAATCTCTGCGGTAAAATTTCATGGACGGGGAAACTGTACGAGGAATTTCAGGCAAGGTCAAAGAACAATAGAAGAGATCGTACGAGAACTCCCCAGTCAAACGATGATAAGGAAGTGTTAAGTTAGGTGCCAGGAGTGAGCAAGTACGCAAAATGGAAGGTCATGATTCTGGAAAGGATTCTTAAAGGCGATCGGAAGCTAGAGAAAGATGCAAAGGATGCCTCTAATGCATACAGAAAGTAAAAGCTGTAATATGAGGTTTCATAGTTAAGCAAGAAGTAACGAGAAGGTGACCATTCAGTTTATGGTTAATGGATAAGACGAGGCATCAAAGAAAAAAGTAAGAGATACAAAGTTAGGAGGTACAACGTCCTAGGTCACCTATGAGGTCAACCCCAGACGAGAGTTACGTTAAAAGAGTTTTACCATCTGACTAGATGGAAGATAAACCAACATCAGTGACCTTGTGGTTGGAGAGGGGCACTAACTTCTCATGTACCGAATGGATAGTTATCGTTCCTATATATGTACAAGGTGCAGCCAAGGTAATGTGAGGGGTTAAGGAACCATAACAACATTGAAGTTGCAGGGAATGGAGAGAAGGATTTTAGGTCATGTCGTACCAGTTAAAGGAAATACAAATCCTCAAAGTAGAAAGGATTACCACAAGCGGGGCTTGGAGTAATCACAGTGGACAAATTTCGAGGGCGAAATTTATATAAGTGGGGAGGAAATGTGATACCTCGACTTCGATTTAGGTTCAACATCAAGTACTGAATCAGTTGGACCAAATAAATTGAGCCGAAATTGTATCCCATCACACCCTGGGCCCAAGTTGGAAAATTTTGAAAAGGGCAATGAGTCACTCAAACCTATTCGATGCTACCAAGCTAAATGAGAATATACGTTGTGGTCAAGAGTACATATAAGAACTATAGTAAGCTATTCAAGACAAGGTAAGGGCACACCATTGAAGTTCATATAGAAAGAGTGAAATATTGAGCTAAAGAAGCACAAGAATCAGGAGTATGGAAGGATGCGCCCGATCAAATTTCGGGGACGAAATTTTTATAAGGGTGGAGGAAATGTTACACCCCACTCTTCCCAAAAGTCAAAATGACTATTATACCCTTGGGCCAAGTTCCACAGTATTACCAATGAGGATTAAAAATGTGAACTAATAGTTCAAACGGTGACGAGTTTCGACATGAAGTGAGAAAATTATGGACGTTAACTGAGTTTCGTATAAACTCACCCAAAATTGTCAAATTCCCAAAATTTCATGGGTCAATTAAACCTAAGCTAACCCTAATTACCCCAAGGTGGCACTTAAGTTTCCGCCGCTCAACCCTTTCCCCAGCTTGTCAAAATCCATCTCGGCAACAAAGGGACGCATCTCAGGCCACTATCGTTATCCTTGCGCGGAATTTCACCTCTGGGACACAAACCTAGATGGGGATTCAAGATATTTATCGGATAAAGATTGGATTTTACAGAAAAACTCTGACCCAGCGAGAGGCTTTGGAAGCTGCAGGCGTTTGAGAAAGAAGCCTAAGAACTCAATGCACTTCTGTGGGTTTGGCAAACAGCAGGAAGAAGAAAAACGAACTAGAATAGACCCGCCGGAAGCTGAAATGCAGAAAGCCAAAGAGCAGAAGCAAAAACATAATGTAGGTACCCTTCCGATTGAAGAGAAGGAAGGCTGCTCAGTGTCGAAAGCCATGGGTTGATTTGGTTCTCCAAAATCTTCGCTCGGTGCACACACTTGCAATAGTTGAATCAAGAATGCATGAACGGTCTGGAGACTGAAATTCCGATTGCGCAGCTTGCTTGCTGCGAGTTTGTGAGGTCGCCAGAAGTTTCAGAGAGAAGAGGGTGATAAAGAAATAGTTTTACTCGAGAATTGAATTGATGAGTTGTTCATGGAGATTGGGGTGGACAGCATCCGACTTAAAACCCACCTGTTTGTTCATTTTTTCCTAAAGAACTACCGGTGCTTTTACCTGGAGGAGGGTAAAGGCGATTATGGAATCTAGCAATCAATTATTATGGTTCATAACGAGCAACGTGGAACTCTCCTGAACACTGCTGGTGAGGAGTAAGAGTTGATATTGACCAGGATCTGCGATTACAAATTAAGGTGAGTGTAAAGGGGGTAAATTCTACGCCTTACGTATTTTTTTAAGTACTATGATTTTAAGTATTTTAGTGAATTGGTTTGAGCTATGCTTGAAGTGAATGTTTTTTAATTAGTTTGAAATTTTATGAGTATAAGTTATTATTAAAGTTTAAGAAACAAGTTCTTTTTAAGAAGTAACTCACCTTCAAGAAGGTGAAGTCGTGTTAAGAGTTTTTAGTCACTAGCGCCAGTCCGTTGCCATTTGAGATTTTCAGACAGAGCAGCAGTTATGCTCTTGAGACTTTTAAGATGAGCAGCAGTTATTCTCTTGAGAATCATGGTGAAGAACCACCACGATAAGTTTAAGATGTGAGGGGGATGAATCGTTACGACTTCCCTAACTAAGTTTAAGTTTAAGG